AGAATGTTTAAAACTTGGTCATTTCCATTTGTTCCGTCGAGAAGATAGAAGGAAGGCCGGCCCACGGGACGCAGGCCCAGAACAACCTTCCCAGCTCAGCGCGGTGGCCCAACTCACTCGTTTCGCCGCATCTGTGTGCGGTCCAACTCCCGGAAGAATTCAGCGTGCTGCCCTGCGCCCCTGCCTGCCTGCTTTGCTGTCGCCTACTCGCGAGAGAGAGAGAGGAAAGAAAAAAAAAAACCCGCCTCCGCCGCGGGAATCGGGTGGTCCAGAGGATGGGGGACGCCTACGCGAAGCGTGTGCTGCTCAGCGCCGCCGGCGACGCCATGTCCCGGGGGATCGCCTCTACTCTCGCCAAACACGGCTGCAGGTAGCTGCCACCACTCCCCGTCCCCGCGCTTGGCGTCGCATGCGGCTCGGTTCTGATTCCGGTTGAAGATTGGTCTTATTGGGCGACGAGGGCGCGCTGGCCGCGACGGCGGAGGAGGCGCGGCGCTGCGGGGGCAGCGGAGGCGGAGGTGTCGAATTGGTGGGGCTGGACTTGGAAGCGTGTGGTGAGGCGGCGGCCGACGCGGCGGTGGATCGGGCCTGGCGCTGCTTCGCCGGACTGGATGCCTTCGTCAACTGCTACTCCTACGAGGGTATGAATGATTCGCATACAGACGTGCTCGCCTGACGCCGTATTGACCATTGGTTTGCCTTTGCTTCTTTATCCTTGAGCTCATTGCTTATGCCACAGTAAAAATCGTGAACGGGGATGCTCGTGGGCTGAGGATTTAATTGCTAATAAAGCTTTCAATTTTACTACGGTCTTTAACCAAGCGCGCCCCTTTAGCAAAATTAAAAAAAAAATAACTGTAGGAAACTGTGGGAGTGGGGAAAATACAGGGTCCAGTGAACTGAATTTGCACTTATATCATGGTTCAGACATATCTCTGAACTGAACTACCCTGACAATTAAATTGATCCGTTACATAACTTGTGCCATATTACAGATATGGTGCCTTTTGTTTTAACTGTCATGGGTCCAGCATGTGAGATGTTGCATCCTAAACAAAGCAGAGGCTCTAGTGGTATCACTAGTCTGAATGTAGTCTTAACACTGAAAACACCAGAACGAAATGCCAGTTTTGTGCACATTTACGTCCTGCTTCAGCCAATTCTTTTTTTAAAATGTTCCATTACTGTGTCTGTGTGACCAGGGGAGGTGCAAGATTGTCTCAGTATAAGTGAAGATGAGTACAGGAAGACAATCAAAGTAAATGTGATAACACCTTGGTTTCTAATGAAGGCGATCGCAAAGCGGTTCCAGGATACAAAATCTGGTGGATCTATTGTGTTCTTGACACAGATTATTGGTGCCGAGAGACGGTTATATCCAGGTGCTGCAGCATATGGTACAAGCTTAGGAGCTATTCACCAATTGGTCCGAGTAAGTATCCTTGTCTACTACTTAGACGTGTGCCCTTTCTATATGCTTATTATGCTGACAGCTGCTGTTCTGTCCAAATAAAATCCTGAAACTGATCATGTTGCAATGCTAAAAATTCCACACTGAAATGATCAACAAAGTTTGGACAAGTCAACTCTCATATGTCTATGAGTTTCTATGAGTTTTTGCACCTTTAAATTGCACATAAAAACAGGAGGCAGTGGGTATGCAATTTGCCAAATCAGACATTACTAATTTCTCAATACTCCGTGATGCCACACATGCACACGAAAAATAGCATCTTCAATGGTGATTGTTTCAGGGACATGCAGGATAATCTATTTTTTTCCTTGTGTTCAGTTTAGAGCAACTGACCAAAGTACCAACCGAAGTACATATATGACATAATAAACGAATAACTGGACCACACTAACATGGTAACAATTGGCTAAAGAAATTCAGACACCACCACCACCTCAGATGTACAACCTTGAATGTTCAGACAGTAGCAGCGGAGCAAAAGAAAGTAATAATACCAAAACCCTGAAAGGCTGAAACAACCCAGGCTCTTTATACAACCAATCGATTCAAGGAGCTGCTGCTGAATTCCACAGCCCACATACCATTTGGGCCTTTTCAACAATCTGCATCCATTAGGTTTCTGAATTTCTGAAAACACCACTCAGTTCATATATGCCAAGGTGGAAAGGATGATGGAATGGTACCCCTGATTGTTCAGCTCAGGAAAAGCTTTCATAGACAGCCACTGAGTATAGAGGATCACTGAGACAAATTCTTGCATGGGAACACTTCGATACTACTCTAGGACCGCAGCAGGGGGACCCCTTGCAGATCATGTCCTGGTGGGAGGAGGCTGTTACCGTAGTGCCCCTAACAGAGCAGAGACGTTTCAACGGCATGGTCATATACACCTTTTGGAACCTCTGGAAAGAGAGAAACAGGCGCATATTCAACAACAACTCTGAATCAGTGATGCAAGTAGCAGGAAGGATCAAAGACGACATTGAGCAAAGGAGAGCATTTGGCTAGAGGGGGTTTAGCGTTTGGAGAGAGCCTATCCTTTTCCTGCTCCCCAGGGCGAGTTAACCCTGATTTTGCTTGTATATGATTAACTCTTTTTACCCTCTTCATTGAAAGGCAAAGCTCCTGCCAATTTTTCAAAAAAAAAAAAGTATAGAGGATCACTGTCTCTGTCTTTCTCAGGGTTAACCTCTGTATTGTTCAGTCCCGTTTCATCTTTTGATTGCTACAACCAATTCTTGTCAATCTGAATCTTGCCCCTGTTTCAGCTGTCTGCAATGGAGCTTGGCAAGCACAAGATTAGGGTTAACGCAGCCTGTCACGGCCTGCATCTGCAGGACAAGTTCCCCATCTCCGTGGGTAAGGAGAAGGCTGAGAAGGCAACAGCGGAGGTGATGCCCCTACGGAGATGGCTGGATCTGGAGAAGGACGAGTCCCGGTACATGACGGGCACAACGATATTCGTGGACGGTGCTCAGTCCATTGTCCGGCCGCGCATGCACTCCTTCATGTAGAGACGAGGACATGGCGGTAAATGAGGACTCGTCGTGGATCGTTTTGTCGCAACTCCGATCCTAGCGCCTGGCTCCTACGTTCTCGGCTCCTACTGATCAGTTTTAGTATTCGCGAGTCTGGATCGTCAGTGAAAGTTCTGTCTGATTTTTTAGAGGATTTAGTTAAATATGTAGGTCATCGATCTCTTGGTTTTTGTTTATAAGTATGCTGCTGCATTGTAGAATTGTATGAATTAACAGCTCTTCCATGTTACATTGTCTCTATCGAGCTTAAACACTGAAACTTGGATATATTACAACTATTGCTTGTTTATAACAATCCTTTGAGACATCTTAACATGGAAGTGTACCTTGTCCAATTCAACTGCCCTTGCTGCAATTCTGTTGGTTGCTTTTTGTCGGTTTTCAAATGAAAAATGATCTGTCAGTTGGTAGCTTTCTGTCAGTTGTTTTAACTCTGGAAAAATGTATGCTCCTGTAATGAGTTCTGAATTGGTGTAACTCTGTCAGTTCTGAAGGAAAAATGTCAGTTTTCAAATTGCTATTTAATAGATGGCCAATTTCAGTTAACATAAGGCCTAACAGTAACAACTATAAAAAATTTAGTTGACAGGTGGCCATTTCATTATAACTGAACCAGCAATAGATGCATTTCCAATGTCAGCAAGAGTATCAAATCTCAGCAAACAATCTGCAGATATATATTTATAGATGCATTTTCAGAAACAATTTTTTTCAGAAAGATCAGTGCCATATATAGCAGCTACTCCTTACAAGGTATCCAAACAATTTTGGAACCAAATAAGGAGTCTGGTAAAAGGTTAACTTAGCCCTCATCACTAATTAGTTAGTTCAGTTTTCAACTTGCTTAATTTCCTTAAAAACACATAATTTAAAAAGGAAAAAGTCCAAATTACTCCCCTCAAGTTTGACATATGTCCATATTACCCTCTAAATTTACATTTGGTTCAATTTACTCTCTCCAACTATTTCAGTTGGTCTAGTTTACCCCTTAACATGATTTGTTATTTTTGTTTTTCTATGTATTAGTTGAGTCTTAATATCAACTTTTGTGACATGATAGAGAACATCATAAGTTATGTTAGAAAAAATATATCTTAACTTTTGCCACAATTTTGATAGCTTAGAAAATTTAATAATAAATTAGCACTAGAGATACAATATCGTATAAAACATGGAGGAAGTAATATGGACTTTTTCCATTTAAAAAGCATGTATACATGTCATTGATGTAACGCCTCGACCCGAGAAGACGGCTAAGGCCCACTCTACACGTTGAATGAAGCATACCTGCTAATTAACTTTCTTGCGCTTTCGTCCTCACTTCGCGCGAAAGGATCGATCCGGAGTTAACAGCTTCCCAGGTCTATGCTCTATACGTTGAATGAACCACACCTGCTAATTAACTCTCTTACGCTTTCGTCCTCGCTTCGCGCGAAAGGAGCCTAGACCTGGGAGGCTATTAACTCCGAATCGATCCTTTCGCGCAAAGCGAGGATGAAAGCGTAAGAGAGTTAATTAGCAGGTGTTGTTCATTCAACGTGTAAAGTGAGCCTTAGCGGTCGTACAATTGATTTCAGGTACCAATTACATTTGCCGTCCACCTTCGTATATCCACGTGCTCTTACAACAACAAATAGAAAAGAAAAGATATTATAAACAAAATCACCCATGCATCCACCTTTTAACGAGTGGATTCAAACATCATCCAAAGTAAATAGTTCGCTAGCTAATATTAGCTATGAACTATGATCCATGAGACCATTGTACCAATGGATTCGGACAGGGATAATATAACTCGTGACGTTGATTTGCTTTATTTATTTTATTTATTTATGTCGTGCAAAAGACATAATAAATATTTCTCAAATAAAAAAACAAAATAGGACGGGATAGCTGATAGCTCCAACTCTGACTGTTGGCTGGTGGTACTAAACTTCGGCACGCTATTATTCAGTCGTTGTCGTCGTCGATGATTGCTCTGCTCACTACTACGCTGCGCGGCGCTGGTATTTGGTGGGCACCACCACCAGCGGCGTCTTCCGGTGGAACGTGAGCGCGCCGGTCTCCTCCATGCTGACGTCCTCCGGCTTCATCCCCGCCGGCAGCGCCCAGTCGAAGCAGTAGAGCAGGTTGGCCAGGGTGAAGGTGACGTTGGTCTCGCCCATGGCGAGGCCCGGGCAGATCCGGCGGCCGGCCCCGAACGGTATCAGCTCGAAGTGCGAGCCGTAGTAGTCGATGTCGCTCCCGACGAAGCGGTCCGGGTTGAACTCCTCGGGCGCCGGCCAGCTCACCGGGTCCCTGCCGATGGCCCACGCGTTGACGAACACGCGCGTGTTGGCCGGCACGTCGTAGCCGCAGATGGTGGTGTCCCGCATCGTCTCCCGGGGCACCAGCAGCGTCGCTGGCGGGTGCAGCCGCAGCGTCTCCTTGACCACCATCTTCAGGTACGGGATCTTGGCGGCGTCTTCGGAGTCGACGCGCGGCTTGTTGTTGCCCACGGCGGCCCGCACCTCGGCCTGCGCCTTCCTCAGCACCTGCGGCTTGCGCATCAGCTCCGACATGGCCCACAGGATGGTGACCGAGCTGGTGTCGATGGCGCCGATGAAGGTGTCGAGGACGATGGCCTTGACGTGGTCCCTGGTGAAGCGGAGCGTGCCGTCGTGCTCCTTGCACAGGTTGATGAGGACGTCGACGAGGTCGCCGCCGTTTTCGGGCACGGGGCGCGCCGGGTCCATGTGCTGGTCGATGACCTTCTCGAAGAAGACGTCGAGCTCGTTGAAGATGCGCTCGCGGCGGGCGAGGAAGCCCGTGAGGCGGTCGGCGAGGCGGCCGGCGGCGTTGGGGAAGAAGTCCTCGGCGGAGAAGCTGGCCATCATGTCCATGGCGTCGTCCAGCACGTGCTGGAAGCGCTCCTTGTGCGCGAACTGCTTGGAGGCGTAGATGTTCCCGAACGCGACGGTGCCGATGATGCCGTCGGTGAGGGCGAAGACGTGGTCGTTGAGGACGATGGGGGCCTTGGACGCGGCGGCGCGGTCGAGGTCGGCGACGAGCCTGTCCATCTCCTGCTCGCGCGCGTAGCAGGCGGCCTTGACGCGGCGCATGCTGAGGAGCTCGAGCGCGAAGAGCTTGCGCATCTCGCGCCAGTACTCGCCATAGGGCGCGAAGCCGACGTTCTTGAGGTCGTAGGAGAGGCGCTTGGGCCCCGGCGACGCGGGGCGGCTGCAGCAGTCGACGTCGTGCACCTTGAGCACCTCACGGGCCGCCTCCGCGCTGGACACCACCACCGTCGGCACCGTGCCCAGCCGGAGCTGCATGACGGGGCCGTACCGCCGAGCCAGCTCGCGGAGGTTCTTGTGCGGCAGTGGGCCCAGCAGGTGCAGGTTGCCCAGGATCGGCAGCTGCGCGGGGCCTGGCGGCAGCCGCGGCGCCTGGTCCTTGCCGCTCCTGCTCCTGTTCCTGCTCCTGATGGTGAGGAGGTAGGACACCAGCAGCACAGGGAGGAGGGCCAGGAGGCCCATCTGCCACTGCTGCGGTACGCTGCCGCCGAGGAGCTGGGAGGGGAGCAGTGGGGTGGCGGAGGCCATTGTTGCCCGAGCCCCTTGGGTTGTGGGCGACGACTGTGGAGTGTCAAGTGTGAGCTGCTTCTCTTTGCTTTGCTTCGCTTTGCTGGGTGATTCGTGGGCATAATATAGTACTCCGTAGTAAGGAGCTTGCAGGCTCGCAGCCTCTCTGGGGTTGGGGTTGGTGCGACGACGAGCACATGGAACACTGATCTCAAGTGGTAGTTTGGGATCCATTTGCCGATCGAGTCCATTCATGCTGCTGCCGCTGCTGCTGCTTCATCTGCATCCGCATCTTGCATGCATCACGTAGTCATTTCTAGAAAGAAAGAAAGGACTCCTTACACACACCCGTGAAAATCGGATCGCGTGGCAGGATGCTGCTAGTTTATATTAAAAATATTAATATTTATTTTATATAAAAATATGTCGTCAAGAAAAAATCAGTCAATGTGTAGGGGAGAAGGCAAATGCAAACCTCAAATATAATTACTCAAGAAAGTACTCAATGCCGTCAAGAATGGTTTTTCCCGTCGGTTCCCGTCAGAGAGATGCCGTCAGGGAGTAAGAGGATGAGCAAATTTGTGGATAAGAGCCAATGTGGGCATGCTGAGATAAAAGAAGAGGATTTTTGCCTCTTGCGCGCGTGCTGTGTTCGTAAGTTTGTGCCGATATTTTCATTTGATTCTCAGACGCATGGGCTAGGGCATAGGTGTGGAGGCATGGGCTGATTTGTTTCGGGTGCACGACTAGCCTCCCTGACGGATTTGGGACGGTGTGCCAGGCTTTCCTCTCAGTATAGCACGAATGCCAAGAAAGGTAAGGCTCTCGTGACGGAGGTTTGCGAGTCAACGCAAGTGCTCTCATTCATAGGAAAAAATTGGTCTGCAGCAGTGAACAAAAGGATCTATTTGAAATTAGGGTAGGTAAACAATCAAGATATGTATCCATTGCAACATGACGACCAAGTTCAGCTCTACAACCCAAATAATATGTGTTACAGTTACAAAACAACGCATTCAACTACTAGCCCCAGCACAACATAACAACAATCAGGTTTATGTCATAACTGAATGTCACAATTTTATCTAAGCCTACCTACTACATGAACACTGAACTACAGCTCACTGCACGAGGCATTCACTATGACAGAAAAAAAAAAACACTAGTGACGATTCATGATGCATATTAGCGACGGACAAAACAAGCGTCTCTAAATTTACATCGTGGACAACCTTAGTGATGTGTTATTCCCATCTCTGATATGCATACATTAGTGTGATGGTTATTGAACAAGAAATCGTCTTTGATATTCAACACCAGCTGAAAAAGAAGTGACTAGCTCCGTGGGGCAGTGGTGTTGGATAGGAAGGTGATCGATCAACCTTAATAGCTAGCTAGTGAGCAATCAAGGCGCAGGGCATGCAATCAGTTAGAGACTTGTATTAACTTAACACGTCTCTAATATAAGACTATAAGGATGTACACTAGTGATGGGGCATGAGATAGAGTGTCCTTGACACAATCCCCAATGAGAGGCATGAAAAAACTTCACCGTCCCTAATAGAATACTGGTCTCCGAAGCATACAAAAAATAATAGACATGGAATAAATTTCGTGAGTCTCTAAAAATGTACCCATCTCTGATGTGGTACCACACAAAAACGGACTTGAAAGAGGCGTGTCTCTAAAATATTCAGAGACGGTTACTAAATAGACAAGTCTATGATATGCACTCATCAGAGACGGATATGGTTGCTTACAGAGTCATGTGATGGATAGATGCAGCTCTAATCCTACATATGTGACGTTTCTCATTTTAGTGCCACTGATGTACCCATCTTCAATTCTTTGTGCATTTCTGTTGTAGTGGTTCCCCGAGTTTCAAAAGTTTGATGAAAGCTGCACATACCGCATCCTTGTGTGCTTCTTTAATTTCACAGTTTGATCTGAAACATCATGATGCACCATCCTCCATTCTAATCTCTTCAGCTGCATCAATCACCAGCCCGTGAAGCCATGCCCGGTATCTCTCCTAATGTCGAGTTGGGCACAGTAGTAATGTAGTAATGCCCAATTTTTTTCTAACGTCCCTAAGATGTTTTGCACAGAGCCCCACTGCAAGCACCCGCATTTTGCTGAAAACATATAGCACCTCTGATTTCCCAAATTAATAAATGGCACACAAGGCCGCTACAATGAACATTAATTCATGTTCACTGCAGCATGCATGTTTCTTGTCATCACTAATCCGTAATCTAGCTACTGCAGCTTCATAACTATCGACACATCTCAACCACATTAGATAGATCAGCTAGATTTTTACCCAAAACTTCCTAGCAAGCACACACTCAAGAATAATGCCCTGTTTGGATCCTATGATCTAAAGTTTAGTAGGGTTGAATACTTGAACCTGCAAAAAATAAAACTATTTGCGGGCTTGCGGACAATCCATCTTGCATCCCGCTTTATATTGTAGGGGCTTGCAGGGTTGAATACTTGAACCCACAAAAATTAAGTCTATTTACAGGTTCACTGACAACCCACCTGCATCTCTAATTATATTATAAGGGCTTGCGGGGTTGAATACTTGAATTTCCTATACCAAAACAATGCCCCTTGTATGCTTAACCTTTATAAACAATACCAAAGCAACGAACTCATCACTTTTGCTGATTATAAACAATTAATCAGCTAAACAGTATAGAGCAGCCGAATTAATTAAACTATTGCAATGAAGACTAATCTTATTTTAGCATCAAATTTGGTCATGTAAAATGTGACTCAAGCCAAATTTGGGTATCAACACAAAGGTGGGTTGGCCAAAAAGAGTCGACATATGTAAAATGAGAATAAGTCATATGGTTAGGTTCCTTGTGTTGGAACCCACCCATCCGAGTCCACGTTCTCGATCTGACATGGGTGCTCATATTTTTCAGGATTTAACAATGCTATTCTTTTAGTGGTAAACGACGTGCCAGTCGACAACAAGACACCTGTGATGATTTCATTAATTTCGAGATGCACTGGCTCAGTCTTTCAAAGGTTTCATAGGCGTAGGTCGTGTGTGTGCATGTGCATTCATAGAGGTGAGTGCTCCTGTATGTATATGAGCCTTTGTGTTTGTACTTTGACTTATATAAAAAAGTCAACATATAATGATATAGCGTATTACTGTGATTCAAAAAAACAAGAGACTCAATAAATTTGAGGACCAAAACATATTGATGACCACCAAATTGTTATAGTTAAGCATATGCTAAGTAAAATCTAAAATTTCATGAAACTTACCCCAGTAAGGTAGGCAAATAAACTTATATGAACGGAAATATTTTATTCCAGTTGTGCTTTATGTGTTTTTATTATTGTCTAACCCGTAGAAGCCGTATCAACAAATACGCATAACAAGAATATTGTTACAATACAATAATTTTTTTTATGAAACTTACCCTACTAAGGTAGCTAGGCAAATAAATTTACATGAACGGAAATATGCAAATAAACTTACCCTAGTAAGGTAGCTAGTATAAACTTTTTTGCTGTGATGTTAGGGGGCATGGCCCTGCCGGGCCCCCTTATCTCCACCACTGGTCAGCGGTCACGTTGGTCTCGCCCATGGCCATTGGCTAGCCCAGCAGGTAGATCTGACACCAGGTTCCTCCATGCTCTCACGTCCCCTGCCGTTTGCCCGGTTTCATCCCCTCCGGCAAAGCCCAGTCGAAGCAGTAGGTTGGCCAGGGTTATTATATACATAGATGGGGATGGCTAAATAAAGAGAGTCGACATATATGATATGAGGGTAGCCTCTCCTTGTATTGGAATCCATCCATCTAAGTTTAAGTTCTCAGTTTGATATATGTGCTCATATTGTCCAGGATTTGACAACGTTATTCTTCAGTGGTAGACGACATGCCAGTCAACAACGATACACCTATAATGACTTTATTAATTTGGAGATCTGCCGACTTAGTCTTTCAGATGTGTTCATATGTGTAGCTTGTGTGCGCGCGCGTATGTACTGTGATTCAAAAAAAAGAGGCAATTCACAAAAAGAGGAGAGACTCAATAAGCTTGAGGATGACAAAATATTGACAACCACCAAATTGCTACTAGTTAAGTACAAGTTAAATAAAACCTAAAAATTCATGAACTTACCCCAATAATAAGGTAGGAAAATAAGTTTAAATGAACCGAAATATTTTATTCCAATTGTGATTTTATTGTCTAATCCGTAGAAGCCATCAATAAATATATGTATGACAAGAACTTTGTTATACTATATCCTACTAAACATAAATATACATTGTCGAGTTACATTTAGGAAAACAATTTAACATACATTTAGGTACAGTAAACTTTTTTTTCTGTGATGCTAGGGGGCATGGCCCTGCCGGGGCCCTCTTATCTCCACCACTGCCACTGGTCAGTGGTCACGTTGGTCTCGTCTTGCCCATGGCCATTGCACTACTACAGAATGGCCTTGTTGTCCCGGGCGGTAACGGCCTTTAGTCCCGATTACCGCGTCGGGACAACGATCCCGGGACTAAAGGTGGAACCTTCAGTCCCGGGTCATCGAGCCGTGACTAAAGAGGGACCTTTAGTCCCGATTGGTATTACCAACCGGGACTAAAGGCCCTCCAACCGAGCAAACGTGGCCGCACCCTTTAGTTCCGGTTGGTAACCCCAACCGGGACTAAAGGTTTCTTTTCTTTTTCTTTTTTTTTGTTTAATTTGTTTAATATATAATATGTTTTTATGTACGTATTCTACGCTGCTAATATAAATACACGCACGCATATAATTACATCTAATTCTCATCTCGAGCATTATTATATTCGAATAAAGTACAAAACTATATATATTATAGATATATATATGTATATAAACAACACTTTCATAATCTTGTTCTCGAAAATAACGATATCAATAAACATTTAATTTACATCATTTATTCCTTAGGATAAAAGTAGAACTCGCCGTTGGGATTTAGCACTTTTTCTAGAAGAAATCCTGCTATTGACTCT